CTTATTTAAAACCACCATTGATAGTCTAAATTAAAAATGTGTTATTCTATTTTTCTTAAAATTAAATAGTATCAATAGTTGAGTGAGTTGATTTTTCTACAAAAGGAAAATCAAATTTCACCAATTATTAGAAACTATTTGTGTTAGGCATTAATGTCCACTCAAAAATATAGCAGAAGATACAATAATACTGTTCATGAATTTTATTTTTAGTGATTTAAATATTATTAAATGTATCCTAAAAATATGCTTCACCACCAAATGTAAGAAAACCTTTCTCTCATTATATCCTTGCAGGGCACAATATTTTCTGAGTCCAAGAATAGTTTTTAACAAGGAATCTATTATATAAAATCAGCTTATAAATAACATAAAATTAGAAATAAGTGATTGTTCACTTTGTAAATAAGATCCAAATAAGTATTATAACACATGACATCGATAAGCTTTTCTGGTGCATTTCAATTATGATCAAGTTTATGGCATTAGACCTAGATGCCATTTATTGCAAGCAATCATTTTGATATTTTGTCTTGCAATTACCCCTTTCAAATGTTAAGCAATTATTATTAGCTAGTAGCGCAGCAGGTTCAAAATTGGTACATGAGAAGTCTGTGTTGATTGGATGAAGTTACCTTATCTTAGTAAAAACTGAGTAATAGGCTACAAACTGTGTTTTTCTTCTTCTTTTTCACTTCTAACAATGTTTAGAGAGAAAAGAGTGACCCCTAAGGCTTTGCCTGTGTTATGCTGTTACTAATTTCATTTCCCTCTTCTCTCTTTCCACACACACTTTTTGTATTAGAAGAGCTAGAAGACAGAGGAGAACTCCGTGAGGTCAGCAGAAAAGAGCAGCAGCAGGGAGGAAGTGGGAGCCTGCACCTCGGCCTCCCCGGTCTGCAGCACCAGGGCTCTGATTGTTACCCTAGTTGGACACCAGCAATCAAATGTCATCCAAAATAAAATCTACGTTCATCTTAATTGCAGAGCCACTTTTCTTTTGCTACCAAAATCAAAGGCGTTAACAGCTCTAAATTTAGCACTTTAAGAAAAAGAAGAATGCTAAATCATATCAAATTTCAATAATTTACTTTCTCTGTCACTGATTCCAAATTGCATCAAATTCAAATCTTCTGTATCTTTTGGAAGTCTATGAATGACGGGAATCTCAGGAAGCATACTGATGAATGATGACAGTTTTCTTCATTCAATCACATAAATCTTTGGTTATGTAGTAAACTTTCCGAAGAGCGACAATGTATTTGGTTACGACCTGCCTTTGTGTCTAGTTAGTCATTTCGTAAGTAAGTAGATACCAGCTCATTCGACGTTGCTCACATCCCTGTCCACGTAGCCCTAGAGTCCTCATGTACTCAGATCTCTTTCCTCTTCCGTGTGATTTTACATCATGTGCTTTCCCAGGCATCACCTTTCAGTCCGTCCTGCCTTCTGACATCACAGTGACACTACAAAACTCAGGTAAGACTCCTCTGAAGTCAGGCGCTAAGCCACAATTCTTCCATTTGTACACTCTACCATTTAATCACTCAAGCACTTCCTGCATCTTTTGAAGGACTGCCACCCATTACCCTTTCTAAGTCTTTCTTTGTGGGATGAGACATAAAATATATAATCTTAAAAACACTGTATGAGGGTGTAGGTCAGTAATAGCATGCACGAGCCTCCGGATTTGATCACAGTATTTCAAACAATAACAAAGCAAAGCAAAAACAAAAGTGAAAAGCAAAAACATAAATTATTAATATCAGTCAGCATGGAGTAAACTAATTTCATACAGTTTTCAGGCTCTGTCCTACTCTCATCTCAACTTTATCATCACAGTTAGAATTTTGTGATAATGATAAAGTATGTATGTGTACAATCTTATTCTCTCCATGTACATAAAACTACACACGCTGTATAGGTCATGCTTAATGCCATTCCAGCAATGTCATGCATATTCCAGGGCCATTATGTACACTGTTTTCTGCTTATAATTACTTTATTTTTTCTCCTCAGGCCTACAAAGTCCTGAAGGACAAACTAAACCAGAGAACACAAACAAATTCAAGAAATTCTGAGAGTTCTTAAAAACTCATTGTTGTGAGTTATCAGAATGCTGTTCTTCTCATTCAAATGATACTGTTAATCCAATTTTTCAACTTAATATATTTTATGAACACAGTGAAATTATGCACCGTCTTCTGAAAAAACCTGAAAGAATGGCTAAGTAACTTTTTGACATTCGGTAGAAGAGCAACTTTGACACTGGTTTAGTGCAGTTGTTATTTTCTAAGTCATGTGTTTATTTATATGTATTGATATATTTGACAAAATGTCTACTGAAAGTTGTAATAAATCATAGACAGACAGACAGACAGACAGACAGACAGACAGACAGACAGAGGGCAAATAAATTTAAGATAAAATTCCTTAACTCTTCTTTTTAACTCTTCTTACGTTCACTGGGATATATGAGTTTATGAAGGCTTGGGAGTAGAGTGCCCTACAGATGTGGCCATCATATTCATTGAATAATAAAAACTCTGTTCATAAATTTGAAGATAATGGGGACAGGTGATGGTATGGTGTGGCAATGGTTCAGGTATGCCTTCCAAAATTTCACACGTTAGAAATTCAATCCCTAGTGTGGCAACTATAAAAAGAGCCGGAAGTTTTAAGAGGCAGGGCATTTTAGGAAGTCACTGAGGATGCTGACCTCGGTTCTCACAGGACCATGAGTTAGTGCTCTTGGAAAATCACTTTGAAAAGAGAAAACTGTATGGGGTTCCCACTCTGGCTTCCTGTCTCTTCAGATGATGCATTTTGTGGTGCCATCAACCATGGGCACTTCACCAGAGGTAAGCCACTGTCCAAGCCAGGGCATTGAATCTCAGAGCCGTGAGCTACATAAATAGCTTTTCTTTATAAAGCACCCATCCTCAGGTATTTTCTCAGAGTAACAGAAAATGGACTGGTACAGGTAGTTAACTAATTTCAAAAAACATGAAAAGGAAAAATACACAGTGTTACATCATCAACTTTCTGTGAAATGAATTTCTTTTCTATTTTTATTGACTTCAGCTCTGGTTGTATGATTGAATACTTTCTTAATGAATGACTGCCTCAGGTATGGTCTCTCTGTGTAACACCTGTGGCAGCAAAGGTCAATTTTCAGCTTGTTATAAAGAAAAGCTAGATTTAGAAACATCTATGTTTTTCTGGCACTTTAGTAAATGATAGCATAAGGTTAGACACCTCTGGCAAAAAAATATTATGCCATTAAGAACATTTCGCACTATAAAAATCCTTCTTCAAGATGTTAGTAGTATGTTCTTAAATATTGTGGAAAAATAATACAAAAGTTGACATTGTAACCAAAAAATATTTATATAAAAATAGTATGCATATACACTGTATAAATGCACAAGAGACTGCTCTGAAGTAGCCCTTATAATATCAATGTAGTAACCATTAAAAATCTCTAAAATTAACATCTGTAGAATAATTCATAAAAAATACTCATACAAGGATGTTCAGTGACTTTCAATATTATGTAATTAATTTCCCAACTTTAAAGGTTCAACCCTACTCTTCCAAGACTTCCTGTACTTGATATAGCTGTATCATGAGCATCACTTCATTATTCTTAGGCTTGTATTTGTTACTCTATAATCTAATGTTGAAGTTAGCCATACGCAATTTTGTGCTCTCAGGAAGGAATAAGATGAATGATAATAGCATTCCGTAACATAATTCTATAAAGAGATAAGAAAATACGGTAATCACAGTACTTAAATATCTTAGTCAAGACCTTCTCAGACCAAAAAGCTACAACTCTTGTTGCATAGGTCCTGCTTTACCTTGGTCTTAACCATCCAGCAGAAAAGTATGAAGACGAAATTATAAGAAATAAAGCCATGCTGTTAAGTTGAGCTGTGGGGGACTCAGGTCAATAATTTCTGACATTGCCAGTTAAACAGAAGACCCAATGCTATTATGGGCTACTGGACTCTTTTGGAATATTTTGCTGAGTTTACACACCTATAATATTCAATAACGGAACTTAGAAAAAATGGGGTATACAGATGAATGTCCATTTTGTATCTGTGTATTCAAAGTGGTTGGGATAGATATATAGTTACATTCTGTTAATGAATAGAATGATTTGTTCTAATGGTGTTTGTAAATAGGATCACAAGTCCGCATCTTGTACAGCAATTAACCACTAAGAAGAATATATGCAGTGTATTATTTGTTGAAAAATAAAAAAAATAAAAATAAATAAAAAAATAATAAAAAAAGAAATCACTTATAGCAACATTTGCTTATATGTAACTCATGGGATGATAAAAGCCATGTGTTGATGATAAGAGCCATGTGTAGAAGCATACAGTCGTACTTGAGTTGTCAAATTCAATTCATTCTAAATTCATGGCCTAATGCCAAAAGTTTGAGAACTAAACTTATTTTTTTCTATGAGAAATAAAGGAAGGGCCAGGGAGATAGCCC